CTCTATCTCATTCTCTCTCTCAAATAAATAAATAAAATCTTTAAAAAAAAAAAAAAATAAGACCCAGATCCTTGTCCGTAAAGTGGGGAATAAAACCGTCATCGTGCTTCAGGAATTCAGTGAGCTATAATCATACACGCAGAGCACTTAGCACCGTGTCTGGAACGTGGCAAGCGCTCAGCAAATGATAGTCGCTGCTAATAGCATTATTAGGAAGGGTTGTTTGGGAGTAATCACTGTTTTTCTTTGCTTCTGCTTAGGGCAAGCAAGCTTGGCAGCCCCCGAACAAAATGAAAAGCTGACTGAATATATGTCTAACCTGGCCTGGGATTTTGCAGTCAAAGAAGGGTTCCGGGTTTTCAAAGAGATGCCAGCCACAAAACCACTAGTGAGGTCCTGCCACACTCAGCCTGGTCACAGCCCCTGCTGAGCACCCCCGGCGCGAGCAGTTACATCGTCTTCGCAGACTCTTCCCCAGCTCAGGCCTCAAAGGGAGCTCTGGTTATCTGTCCAGAGGGCCTTTCCCCACCACTCAGGGGGCTGTATCTGTGACTGCGGCACCCCTCTGAGTCAGAGCTGTGGACTCACCAAGCCTCAGTGGGGACGCACCCCTTCCCTGCCGATGGAACACCTCAACGGAGAGTTGGTAAGATGTCATCGACACGGCAGAACCTCAGCTCACTGACTGGACACATCTGTTCCCCTCAGAGGCAGGGAAGAGACGGGAGGGCCGAGGTGAATTATCTTTGCTTTCCATCACTGTCGGGAAGAGCCAGCTCTAAGATGCCTCAGTTTTCACTTCATGGCTCTTTCTGTGAGACCGCGTCCTCGCCGGGTAACTCAGCCCCGGCCGAGGACCTGCCACGTCTGTGGTTCGTGCCCCTGGAACACCTGGGCTCGTTATTTTATGCATATTTGTATTATGTAAATTTGAAGCCGTGTGAAATAAAATGCATCAGTTCATAAAGTCTCTCTTTGAAGAATCCGTAATGTCAAAGCCAGAGGGCTAGAGCCCACTGCCAACTGTTGACAGACAGGGACACCACGTTAGCTGATAATGGAAATTCCTTCTGTTCTTTGTCAGGAGTCTTGGCTTGTGTGAGTTTTTAAGTTATTTGAGATCTTCAGGAGGAGCACACATTTTGCCTATGATGCGGCCACCACCTACTTTTTAATAAAATGGCATTATCACTTTTTCCTGGTTACAAGCCGATTGCAAAATAACCAAAGCTCAAACATGACAAGAGTATAAAAAAGAGTTCATGACATAGAAAGACTTCTGTAAAATTCTCTGCTCTCTGAAATAATTACTGTCAACAGCTTGGTGTATTGGGCTCCCAGCTGCTTTTCTCTATTACGTACTAACATGTTCCTGTGTTGTAATGGGATTGTTGTATACATTCGCATCTCCCACTTGCTTAGTTAATTTAATGACACATCAGCACCTGGAGATGGACTGTCCAGGGTTTTCGCAGTATGGGTATACGTAATTTGTCTATCCTCCCCTTGGCTGAGGGACACCGAGGGTGCCTCATTTGGCAGGCTACATCATTCTGGATCACTTAAGCAGCAAAGGACATTAGCTAGCTGCTGACATGGACAGGGAGGCTGAAGACCCAGCTTTAGAAGTCAAGCAAAGACAGGCCACAGGGAGTGTGGCCAAGGCTATCACAAGAGCAGCTGACTGGGAGGTTCTTTGGGAAGCTTCCTCAGGACTCTGGAGTTTGAGATGGGAATTTTCAGAGGGCAGGGGATCCGGGGAGTAGGTCCCAAGGCCACGCCTTCATTGCCACGAAGCAGGGAGAAGGAGGGCATGTCTGGCCCCCTTCCCCTTCTGCAGTAGGAGACTCTGCCTTGATCCCATCAAAATTTATATAGTGAGGGAGTCCTCCAGCATAAGAAGGTGATTTGGGGTGCCTGGGTGGCTTAGTCGGTTAAGTGTCCGACTCATGATCTCAGCTCAGGTCTTGATCTCAGGGCCGTGAGTTCAAGCCCTGAGTTGGGCTCCACGCTGGGCATGGAGCCTACTAAGAAAGAAAGAAAGAAAGAGAGAAAGAAAAAGAAGAAGGTGGTCTGGGTCCTGTGCAAGCAAGGTGCATTGAATGTTCTTACACACTTCTATGTACATTTACGGTTTCTACAACAGGATAAATTATTTTAAGTAAAAATACTGGTCCAAGAATGAGACCATTTAATGTTTTAATAAATGTTGCCAAGGTTTTTTAAAAGATTTTTAAATTTTTAAGTCATCTCTACACCCAACATGGGGCTCAAACTCACAACCCTGAGATCAAGAGTCACACACTCCACCAACTGAGCCAGCCAGGTGCCCAAATATTGCCAAGTTTTGATCAGGAAGGTGCTTACTAATTTATGCCCCCATCAGTAACGTGTGAATTGCTCTTCCCACCAGCATACTTCATCCTCGCGCATGTAATGTAAGCCCGTCAAGGGCACAGAAGCACTAGAAAAGGAAACACTCATGCAAACACCTCCAGACTCTAAAAGGAATGCCGAGGCAAAACCTAGAGTAGGGATCCTTCTACTTCCAGTTATATCTGAATGGGAACATGATGATAAGTAATAAGATTTGTGGGTAAAGTGGTGAAACTGTAACTCATGGCTTTTATCCCAAGTGTCATTACTCCCATAAATAGGAAGATGAATTTGGCCATTTCTGGTGCATTTCACAAATCCTGTGAGGTATGCCTTGTTAACCTCAATTTAAAGGAAAAGAAATGGATTTGTCCAGCTAGGAATACTAGCGTCTGGATTTCTGTCCAGAGCTCCTGGGTTCAAATTCTGTGGGTTCCCCACACATACACAAGGACATGATTAGATCCATTTCCTTAATTCTGCCTCTTCAGAACTCCCTTGCTTCTTACTCCCCACCCCCCAGCCTACTTTATTTGTTCCAATTAATCTGCCCTTTCGCTCCTTGGTCATTGCATTCAGAGCTACTGAGCTTAATACAAACGGTGAGACCAGTGCATGTACTGATACTGAAAATACGTCATTAGACCAGGCCTGATATCGGTGTAAAAGTCAGGCTAGCTGGACCCCTCCCCGTAAGAAGAAGTGACGGTGATTATATCCATGATCACTAACATTTAGTGCAGCCGTCGGCTTCTGTGTCAGACACTTCATATTCCCTGTGTCATCTCATTTAACCCTTAAAACAGCCCAGTCAGGTGGGCGTTGTGGACCCTGCTTAGGTCTTTGGGCTGCCTAGGGTTCGGTCCCCTTTCTCGGTGGCAGCATCCCAGTTTCATCTGGGGGCACTCCTTTCCCCCCTTTGGATACAGTGGCCGAATTGTCAGGGTGCCAGTCCAGCCCTCCTTGGCCAAGAAGTGGGCACATGCGCCAAGCGAGGCCAGCCAGACCGTCTGGAATTAGGAGAGTGAACAGTATTTTCGAGAAGAAACATTGGCATTCACTCATTCCCCAGGAGGACTGCTGAGCGTCCTGTCCCCTGTGATCCTCTAGGGTGTCTGTTTCAGAGCCTCATTCTCTAACCTGAGCTCCTGAGAACCTTTCCGTTCAGTTCCTTTTTTCCCGTTAGTTAGCGACACTTGGTGTTTACTGCTACAACTCAGTAGTCCTGACTGATGGATGGGTAGTTATGTCCCGTTTCACAGATGAAGAAACTGATCAAATATCTTGCCCGGCAGGTATGTCAGGAATGGTGCTAAACTGGGTAATCTGAACGAAGGCCCGAGCTCCTGACCCTCAGGCTAGACTTCCTAGTTACCTGGCTAGGAGCTACATTTAGAAATCTGGGGTTACTTGTCCCCTCAGTAGGGAAGCTGGTTCGGGGGTCTGTGCACCATATCAAAGCGGCTGAGGCTGCCGCCACATGTACTGGGCCTGGTTCCTATCAGGCACGCTAACGGATCCTTCAGTCTCCTATGTTCACGGTGCATGTTCTAGAAGATTCATTACAACCCTAGTAATGCTAACAACGGTGGAGGGTGGGGTACGTGGGGTGTCTGGGATATGGAGACTGCAGGGAGTGAACCGACAGCCACCATCACAGCTAGGACCCCACACCCCAGGCCTCCTCGTGCTCACCCCACCCACAAATCTGCAGGCTTTCTCTCCAGCCCGATGATGCTGACTCACATCATTATTTTTGGCACACACTTCATTTCTGGCTCTCTACCTTCCTCCTTCCGATCCCTTTCATGATTTTCCATAGGCCAAAATAAAAAATCACCCACTGTAGTTCCCTGACTTATTTTTCCTGGAGAAAGCCAAGGCTGAAAGACTTTGGAAGCTTTTCCTACCCTTGGAGACGGATTCTGAGATAAAAATACGGAGCAGGACTGACCAACATTGAGTGTGCACATTTGTATGAACTTCTGGGCATGTCTGTATGCTCCCGAGTTTCCTCCTTTACAATTCTCCTGAGCGTGCAAGGATATTCTAGTTCTCGGCAAGAACACCAGTCCCCCTCCTATGATTCGGGCTTCCCTCTGGCTTCACTGGCTGCGGGAACACATCCGAACTCAAACTGCTCATGAGGGAGGACGGCTTCCAGCGGCTGGCTGGAGCCAGAGCAAGAAAGCAGCTCAGGATGGGAGTTTTCCAGAAAAGATGGGAGCCATGCGAGTCATGGGCCTGGCTGGCTTCTGTGAGTCTTTGGCCCCCCAGTTCCAGTCGGTTTTCTTTCAACAAAGGAGGTTCATGGCTGGGCTTCGGGAAGAACCTTCAGGAAGGTGTCAGAGGGCAATGTGACTTGGAAGGAGCTCTGGCTCATGCTTTCAAGGTATTTGAAATTTTGAATATGGACACGGGAGTCACTGTAATGCCTCCTCTCCTTTTCAGATCTTTAATTGTTCTGCTCCAGATTCGGGGAACATGAAGCTTCTGGTGCAATACGGCCCAGGAGCAAAAGGCCCACTGGCTGATTCTGTTGCCAGAGGGAGAGGCCAGCTCCCATTCGGCTAGGACTCAGCCCCCCCCCGCACCTCACTTGGGACACCACCCACTGGAGCTCCTCCTCATCAGGCCGGACCCCTGTGGGGCCCCTCCAGGCTCTGCTGGGCAGGGAGCCGGGAGTGAGGGGCCCTGGCCAGCTCTAGGCCGATGTGATCTCACTCAGGTCACCTCATCAGTTGCCACCAACCTGAGTCTTCCATCTGAGAGAAGAGCTTCTACATCACAGTCACCAGGGGTGGATCTCAGGCATTCGGCCTGACATTCATTTTTCCATGATACTTCCCTGGTCTGTGTTGATAAGCATGTCTCTCTCTCTGCCCTGCTGTTGCCTGGGAAACAGGATGCAGAGAAGATTCTGTCTCCGTGCTCCCAAGAGAGGCAGCAGAGCCCAGGAGAACCGGAGGTCCCATGTGGGTCACCAGATGCATCACACACGTGACGCGCTGGGAACCTCTCCTTCACTGTCCCACTGTCTTCAGTGGGCCCCGGGCATCCCCGCTGGAAAGGCAGAAGGTCACCTGTCAGTGGCTTCCCCCTCCCGTGAGATCACGTGTGCAACAGCATAAGGGCCCAGTGAGAATCCTGCCCTCCGTCCTACATTCACTCTGCAGGGCCCTCCCTAAGTGCTATGTGGACCTCACCTCCGCAGGAGGTACGGATTATCACACCCATCCAACAGAGCAGGAAACTAGGACCGAGAAGCGACTTGTGAGTCACTTGCCTAAGGTGCTAGCCCCCTGCCCACACATAGGGAACTGAGAATGCAGGGTTGGCCTGATTCTGAAGCCTGTGCCGCTTACGTTGACGGCGCCTGTGGGAAGAGCAGAATGGGCTGCCAGGGTTAACGTAGCGGTTTTCAGCCTCTTGTGTCTACATTATATTTTCAACTCTACGTGGTGCTTTTTTGAAACAACTGCTCTTATGATGTTGGCTTCATTCCTCACGGGGACAGAAACCAGCAGCTCTCATTTCTAGTCAGGAGCCCGCGTGCACTCATCTGATTACGTGAGGTCTTAGCTCTATCTGCCT